TTGCACAGTACAGAGAATTGCCGTCTATTTAACCAGAGACATATCTGTTTTAACATATTATTATTATTACTTCTTATTATTAATAGTTATAATTAATATAATTAATAGTATTAAAATACCTAGTAAAAAAAATCTGTGGCCCTGGTAGAGGGTAGTGATTATACGTGTACGCTGTAAAAACAAGGTGAGGCGTGTTCATCTGTGATCGATCTATGTAGACCGATAGTTTAAATGGGAATGAGCCCTTAGTGAAGTATAATGAATATTCGGTTTTCATGCTTTAGTCAAGTTGAGGAAAAACTACAATAATGCTGTATTGTTGAATTTCTCGCTTTTCATGCCACACTTTACCTCAACATATATTAAAACAGTTGTCGTCATATTGGAAATGATTGATATAAATTTCTAGTAAAACATTATATATGGTGCGACTGAAATGAATAAAAGAATTATACCTATTTCCAAATTGCATGCTAAAACTGCATTAACGGACTGACAGGTGCAGTTAACATATAGTAATGGTAAATTCAATTAAATACAACAATAACGAAAAACATTAAAGTAGTCTCTTTCACGGGTTAAGATTGAAAGAATAGGGGAGGATTAAGCCGCGATTAACTCGGCGAAAACTGATTTTGATCGCGCCTTAGATATATTTTCTTCTTTTACAAGTGTCAGTTTCACATGTAAGTAAACGCATTTTACTGTTTATATATTTATTGTTGTTCGAGACACTTTGAATAACCACCATTTTTGCGATTCTGAATTTAGATTTTGTTTCACACTTGCGATTTCTGAAGATCAAAAAATTTTAATCATGGTACATTCAAGTTATATAACACAATATTTCAGTTCACTTTTTCTTTTTTTATAGCATTAAAAGTCGACTCACATTCTAGAATGTGTCTGCTGTTTGGATGTCTGTGGACGGGAGTGGACGAGAATCGTTTTTCGTATACTTCCTTTGCACGACACAGGCGTTTGGCATAACATAAACCTTTTATCTGTTGGCTCAGTGAGAGATGGACACTCTTAAAATGCAGAAAACGTGCTATGCCGTTTACGAAAAGTTTGCCGTTTTCTTCAGTTGCCCGTAAATATTCTTTTGCTGGAACAATGACAGGACAAATACGCAGAAGAACTTTGGAACACGAGATGGAAAGTGTGAATGGTAATCACGGCGAGTACAGCGGGTTTTATCATTCTAAGCAGTTGAGTTATTTTCACCTCACTGGCCGTTTTCTTATTGCAACATGAAAAGGTAACTTGACTGTGACTCATCATATAATGAGAGTTGTAATGAGAGATTTTAAGAATGTTTCTTATTCGCATTCTTACGCTAAATACTCTTGTACGTGTGCATCTTGTGACCGCCCAGTTTATACGGTACAGTGCTTAACGCCACGTGCCTCGTTAGCCACAGTAAGGGGTGTGCCTGAGAACCTCAATACATGTGGTGCATGTGACGTGTTTCGGTTATAATTAACGGGGATCCGGCGTAATCCAGACACGCTGCACGCTCATCGCTGTTGGTATGTGGAATTCTTCATTATCTAAAGATAGAAAGTTAATAAATAGATTTTGTACTGGTTTATTTTTACTGTATTGTGGGGTTTGGGAGGAACTTCTCGGATATTAAAGCCAGGGATTCTAATAATAAGCTTCTTCTGAAGTGATCAAATTCCCTGCACTATTTTTTGCTACACGTATCTTGGAAAACCTGTTTAACAACTTCGAAATCATAAAAGGTTTTTTCATGTATCATCCTTTCTGTTGTCAGAATTTGGTCGCGTGCTGCGCGCGAGTTTTCTTCAGCCTACTGGGAAGATACCATCAACGATTACTTTTATCTTGTTAAGTTAATTTTTGCCATAACAATTGACTCCATAATGAAGATATCCACAATAGCTCTTTGCCAGTCAAACAGAAGAAAACGCTGATTCATACTTCAATATTTTATTTATTCACGCTTTGTCTTATTTCGTCATTTTATGGTACTAGTATAGTACAAAGACAACAAATAGTCCGTATATTATTTTTTCTTTTTCGAATAATGAAAATACAATACTGAACTCTGCTGGTTGTGTCCCCGGCATAATATTCTGAAGATATGAAAATCCATTTACGGCTCCACCCCTCTTTCTTGCAAGGACCCCTTGTCCCCCTCAACATCAGTTGATTTTCATTTTTCGGTGATTATAGATGGCAAGATACATTTAATCTCAATTTGAAATCAATCACTCAAGTTATTTACTTAAGGCGTGTCACTGTGCCACACTCCCGTGAATATCACTTTTGTACAGTCAAGACGAGAGCATCAACTTAGACATGACGTAGCGTGATGTAAAACCACGTACGAGGTCTCGCGAGAGTTTGTTAGGAACGGCAGTGTTCCCACGCCCACTGACGGTTGACCCTTGGAGCCGAATATTGTCATTTCATTCATGTTGCATCGAACTGAAAGGCCAAAAAAGGAAACACGTCGTCAACGGTTTTTGGTAATAACCTGTGAATGTATGAAGGCAGTATGTTCTTTACTCAGCCAAAGGTAGCATTTCCACGTGTCTTCTAGGCGGTACATGTAGTATTTGCTTTTACCAGGGAATTATATATGATATAAGTAGAACAGTAAAAGGTTCTGTCAGTGTTCAATTAATAATTGTCGACTTATTCCTCTGACACATAAACTAGTCCGCAGTACAGTCTACAAGACTCCTAAACGGTGAGACGGTCTTTTCTAAAATAAGTGATTTAATTATTTCCCTGGCTTGCGTATCCTAACAAGAGTTGGACTATATATTCCGTTAAACAAATAAACCTATTTGCTTGTAAGCACAGATTGAGCAATCATAGGGATTTACATCAACAGTGAAATTTAACAAGTTAAAAAAATGAATTTTATACAAAATATTTGGTGACTATATCATTTAACCTTACCTATGCATTTTAAGGAAGGCAACAAGTTGATAAGTGTTGAGATCAAATCTAGCATATGGTTAGATGTATGTAGTATTTAGTTATTTTTGTAACGATGTAGTTAGTTGTCTATATCCGTGATTGTACTGTACTCGTGGAGGTGTAAATCAGTTAAGAAATCTGAACCTATTAACGACAATGGGCCGGACGACCCGTATAGGACTTACATGTAGAACTACCGGCGGAGACGCGACAGAGTTGTGTGAAAAAAGGGAATGACATGGAGAAAACAAGACATGTCCAAATGATAAACAGGACGTGTTGCCTTTGGGAATTTATTTGAATTCCAGTATCCTACAACAAAGACTCTAAAATGAAATATTTATATGAAATGGAGGGGTGTCACGATTCGTCTAATAGGAGGGAAGGATAAGGGGGATTTCATCATACCGGGGTACATGTACATGTATTAAGTGAAAGGGAATAATGAGGTTCAGAGAAGTCAGTAACTCAAAAACCAGTCTGTATGTCTACGCATACCATCAGGTGAGCATTAGGCTAAACAACATCTGTTTCAAATTTCCACCTCCCTAATACCATGTCTATCTTCATTTCTATCTAAGTAATTACATTCATTCTCTTTGATACAGTAGGCGCAATGGTTTATGGGATTGACAGTAAAGAAAGTTTTCTTAATGCTGAATCGCGTGTTAAAACCATTAAGAGCGTCCAGACAATAAATTTGCACAACGTAGCCAAATGTATATTGCATTTGCCAAGCTACGTTTTATTTGATTTGTCTCTGCTTTTTATTCTTCTTGCATGTACATGGAATCCTTCAGCAAACTAATGGCCCGCCTCGAATCGGTTTATTTTGTTAACTGGATGCCATACCCATGGGTTAACTACACGCAAATATAATGAAGAAAAACAGAAATATGAAATAGCCCCACTGTTCGCTGTCTACTTATTTAGCCCGGATACAGAAAGTCTTGTATGTTTGCAATTGTACAAAATTTAAGAACAATAAAATATGTGTAAACCAGTTATAAGATAGAGTAGTCCTTCCCTATCAGTTTGACCCCATCTTTACTAATTGAAGAGATTGGAAATCAACTAAAACAGGGACCGCACTGTGCTTTATAATGTTATCTTTTTTATTTTTCAATTATATCTTTAAGTGAGTGAGCACGATTACTAAACCATAGCTTAGATATGAGTAAGATGTCTATTCAATTACCCTTTCTAATGCGAATCTCTAACGGGTTCAGTGGGCGAGTTACTGACAATGAATAGTACATTAAAACTTAATGTGTTCGCGTTCGCTATTCTTTTTATAGCTACCCAAAGTTAATTTCTTCTTTTGTTCATCCATTTGTTCATTTATTCTAAATACTACATTTAAACATTCGAGTTCGCTATTAATTTCTTTTGTCTTGAGAAAAATTCATTACTGTCCACGTTTTCAAAATTCGATATTTTACTCAAATGAAAAAGTTGAAAAAAATTAATTGTCGCGTGTTTAATATGAATCAGTGAATCTCAAAACTTCATGAAATAAAAGAAGAAAACGTTAAAGAAGAAAACAAAAAATTTATAATTTTTTTAATTTTTATTTTTATAGAGTGTAACTAACACAAAATATCAGCAAACGACAATCGGCATTCTCAAGAAAAATGCCAACGTTCAACGACGATGTTGGTCTTGTCGTCCACTGGGTTTCCATCACCGCACACGCTAAACGTCTGAAAGAAAAAAATCAGAAAATGAAATCTTTAAAAGTGGCCAATTTAAAGTAAAGAATATATAATGTCTTGTAGATTATCATAATTTGAATTTGAAGTAAAAACGAATATATGGGTAAATTCGAAGCAGATCTTAATATTTTAAAGGAAAAATGCTGGAGTAAATATGAACATATTTGAAGACAGGGCAGTTTATAAAATAAGGGCTAAAATATAAAACCAATGAGCCTTACCATTTAACCCTTCTTGGGGTATCCGTAGCCGAATCCTTTGAACTGGGCGGCTTGGGCAGCAGCAGCGGCCTCGGCAGCTCTGGCGGCAGCGGCAGCTCTGGCGGCCTCAGCAGCTCTAGCGGCAGCGGCAGCTCTGGCAGCAGCGGCCTGTCTGGCGGCCTCGATGGCGGCTCTAGCTCTAGCGGCTCTAGCGTCGACGGCAGCACTGACTCTGGCGGCACGGTTGGCAGCAGCGGCGGCAGCACCCTCGGCACCATCAGCAGCATTGTCAGCGGCGGCGGCACTGGCAGCCTTGGCAGCGGCGTCGTCAGCGGCGGCGGCGGAGGCAGCACCAGCGGCGTTGGCAGAAGCACGGGCACGGCCAGCAGCAGCGGCAGCAGCAGCGGCATCAGCGGCAGCCTCGTTGGCCTCGGCACGGGCAGCAGCGGCAGCAGCGGCAGCAGCCTGAGCAGCAGCTTCCTTGTCGTTGGCGTCGGCTCTGGCAGCAGCAGCAGCAGCGGTAGCAGCAGCAGCAACGTTGGCACGGTCGGCAGCAACACCTCTAGCGGCGCCAGCGGCAGCAGCAGCATTGGCAGCGGCAGCAGCATCGGCGTTGGCAGCATTTCTAGCATTACCGGCAGCGGCACCAGCAGCAGCAGCACGGTTGTCGGCGGCTACTCTAGCGGCAGCAGCGCTGAAATATACAAAACGAAAATCATGATCCGTATACAGGAGATGAAATCTTGGTTTATCATTTTCAGTCATCTTAACACTAGGCTAAAGAAATGTCTTGTTCTCTCACAGTTAATTTCCCTCTAAATTTAACAAAGAGAGAGAGAGAAGAAAATAAATGAAAATCCCGGTACAGAATATTGAAATTAAACAAAAAAAAAGGCTGAATAGCAAATAAAGGTTTGAATGAACCATTTCACATAAGTTCTAGAAACACCAAAGTTAAACAAAACTTGATTAAAAAAATCTGAAAAAGAATAAGTTAACTTACTTGGCAACGACACCACGGTAGTCATAGTAGCCATAGAGGCCATAACGACCCTTTCCAACAGCAGCGGCAGCAGCCACGCAGAGAGCAAGAATGACGAGCTTCATGTTAGAGACGTGGAGGTTTTGATCACCAGTGCTTGGCTACTAGCTCCAGCAACCTTTTATAGGCCGATCTGGCTTTTTTTGGGACGCCCATTTTTGTTGTTTTTCTCGTCTTTGAACATGAATTTTAGGAATTAAATTGATTTATATGGGTTTTTCACGTTCCTGATTTGCATGCATATTTCAATTTCATGCTGGTTGGACCAGATCATTTGACTGTTCATGAAAGCAGTCTCTGAAGAAAAAAACAAACAAATTGCGTGACGTGAATGCAGTTGCTCAAATAAAGCATAGGTGTCACGCTAAAAGGTCTTCGTTTCTAATTAATAAGCCACTTCACTCAATCAAGTAAATCTGATTCAATCGCATGCCAATAACAATAATTCGGATAAAATTGCGGTATTGTCTGGAGATTTTCCTTTTCTTGTCGCATTTAAAGAAAAAAGCGACATTTGACTCGAAAACAAATAAAGATAATTTATTGGTCTCTTCGGGCTGGTGCGTATAAAAGCGTGAAGATCTGAAGGGTTGTCACAGGGTATTCTCTCGTCTCCCGATCGTCACCATGAAGCTGTTCATCCTTGCTCTTTGTGTTGCCTACACTTGCGCCTTCGGCAAGTTCGGATATGACTTCAGGTGAGCAATCTGCAGTTAGCCTTTTTCTCTCGCAAACGGATTTTTCTTTTCTTTTTAAGTTGGTGATGAAACTTGAATAAAGGAGAAAGTGGAAAATAGCTATATAGTAATAACTGAGGATGTTTTGAAAGATTAATACAAGTTGAATTTAAATGGTTAATAGGATGATTTTGATTAGTACGAATATGGCATATTAAAATACAGAAATATTGTGTTTTAGCGCCGGAGAGGCCGTGAAGGCCGCTGCCAACGACCGCGCTGCTGCCGCCGCCAACGCCGCTGCCAACGCCAGAGCTGCTGCCGACGCTGAGGCTGCTGCTGCCGCCGCTGCCCAGGCTGCTGCCGCCAACGCCAAGAGAACCGCCCACGCCGCTGCTGCTGCTGCCAATGCCGCCGAGGCTGTTGCTGCCAGCAAGGCCGCCACCGCCCAGGAGAAGGCTGATGCCGCCGCTGCTGCTGAGGCTGCTGCTGCTGCTGCCCGTGAGGCTGCCGATGAGGCTGCTCAGGCTGCCACCGTTGCCGAGAACACCGCTGCCCGTGCCCGTGCTGCTGCTGCTGTCGCTGCTGATGCCGCCGCCAGAGCTGCTGCCGTAGCCGGTTCCGCTGCCTCCAAGGCTGCCGCATCTGACGACGCTGCTGATGGTGCTGAGGCCGCTGCTGCTGCTGCCGCCGGCGCCGCTGCTGCCGCCGCCCGTAACGAGGCTGGCGTCAGAGCTGCCGTCAGAGCTAGAGCCGCCGCTGCCGCCAGAGCCGCCGCTGCCGCCAGAGCTGCCGCTGCCGCCAGAGCCGCCGCTGCCGCCAGAGCCGCTGCTGCCGCCAGAGCCGCCGCTGCCGTCAGAGGCTACGGATACGGTTACGGCTACCTTAAGAAGGGATAAAAAGTTGTAAGTTTTATTTTTGTTTTTCAACAGACGCTTGTTATGCTTAAGTCTTAGAATGCAAACATACTCATGAGTCAATTTTTAAAATCGAAAGATAAGAAAACTGATTTCCAAGTTCTAAGCATATCAAAGTTTTTAAACATTACAATTACAGAATGTGACAATCAATCAATTTATTCAAAATGCATGTATTACATCTCGGTCGTCATAGCAATAAGCGGATCTTCACGTTCAAAATGTCTTATTTCACGCGAAAAGTACATTAATAACGTTTCAAGTTATATTTCCTTTGGGTTCTAAGTTAAAACATTGGAAACGTTTATAATTTCTGTCGTCCTCAAATTGTTATCCAAAATCATTCCAGTGTGGTTGGATCATCATAGATAAAAATTCTTTTTCTTCATGACAAGTGTCTTGATATTTATTCACTGTTTTGTTCACTTTCAGGGTTTTGTACGAAAACACGGTGATGGACAATTCTCGAACAACGCAACATCGTCGATTGGTCACCGCCATTGTGAAGCGGACCATCGTTAGTTCGAAATTATGTTTGTGTTATTGATTAAACAAATAAAATAAATATAAAAAGTACCATCTTGGCTTCCTTTTGACTTGTGCTATTCGCCGACAGGAAAGTACCTCTTTAATTCACTTGAGAGAAATGCTAGTATTTCATCAATATTTGAAATTTATTCGCTGGAGTATTTTTTAGTAAAGACTAGAGTGCTGAGGATTTTCTTAAAATGGTTTAACCGAAGCTGCTGTGCGCCCCCTTTCCCTCGAGCTCCCGCCCGCCTAATACGTTTAGATGTATAATGTTTAATATTTTCTACCAAAATATTATTAAAATACGCTTCTTCAACGTAACGTGTTTCCCCCAATTATCGTTTATCTTGAACAAATCATATGGAGCAGATTTTTTTGTTAATAAGCTGAAATTAATTTGAACATTGCCTAACTCGAATCCCCGCGTAATAGCTGAAACAAAATTTCCCGGTACTGGGGTTTCCGAGTTCTACTGTGTATGGCTCTCCCAATGTTGACTGACGTTCTAGATGCATCGGCTTACGTGCGTGCTTTGATACCCACCTAAATATTCAAGAATGTATTACCATTCTCAAAATAATGTATACCAAGAAAGAAAGAGAGGAGTAGCATTGGCTTTCTAAAGCAAGCGAAATTTAACTTATTATTCATAAGATGATTTATGTTGAATTACATGTATGTAGGGGTAACTTTAAATCAAAGTGATATATACAGTGCATTTAGGTCTAATTGTTAAATTTTCTCAAAGAATCCGTACATGAATTATGGTATCTCTGACATGAACAGATAACTATAATTTACCTGTAAATTGAATAAAAATTTCTGACATAGACGATAAGACTCACTTTTTATTTTTGATATATGAAGATAATATTTGATACCCTTGCATATTCAAACTTAAATTTTTAAACCATTGATTCTCCCCCTCTCTCCCTCTCTCTCTCTCTCTCTCTCTCTCTCGAATAGTAAATATTCAGTTTAGTGTAGTGCGTGTTTATGTGCTATATCCAAAGTGTCCTATATTAAGTGTTCACAAACAAACAGAAATGTCGTGACTCATTAAAAATTTCATCTTGGCTCATATGAACAGGGGTCAAACAACAGATCGCGGGTCGGGGGAGTTACGTGTGCCTCTGAAGCACCTTTAATTATTCATTTATCTTATAGGTAAGTATCTTGCAAATAAGCGAAGCAAAACCTCTTTTGCCTCGAGGCACGCCCCCCCCCCCCCCCTCCAAAAAAATTCACAAATTTAAACCCTGAAACCGCGACTGGAACAACATAAACTGCGCCCTTCCAGTGTACGCATCCCCTTCAGTCTCATATACAATTAATGAACTACATTGTAACAAGATCTAATAGTACAGTGACAGGCAATCCTCCAAAGAATAACGGAAATACACGTGTTCATCAACCTCCAAGCAGCAAAACTCTAGCTCGACAGTAACATGCATCTCTTTCAAGATCGCCGCTTATCATTTTACGCGTCACGCGATCTTGAAATGAAATTTGTGTCGCACGAGGAGTGCGCTGTGCAACTGTGGAAGTTTCCGTTCTGTCATTAAAACTGTACTCAATTGATGGGAGAGATTAGTTTTATGTACGGTAGTTTGTAACAGATTTGGCATCTTGATGACGTCATGCCTTGCACAGGTAGACGCGCCTTTTTATTCAAAAAACAGAATAGTGGGATGAAACTGCCATGATACTTAAATTATAGAACAGTTACGTCAGTGGTGAATCTAGAAACACACCAAACAAGTACCATTTTCTGAGCACCTGGAATTATCCTCCACTCCCCCCCCCCCCCCACCAGGCATCCTGTGCGCTACCTATGTCGTAAAATTCCCTCATTTTCTGTTGTGTGTATTATCATCCTGTTATATATTGTTATTCCTGCGCCACCAGTGCCCCCCCCCCCCCCCACTCCACCTCTCCACCCCCACCCCCACCCTCTTTAGCAGAATCCCAGATACGCCACTGACATTTACATGCACATTCGTGAAGAAGTGTCAAGATCCTCCTCAATAGTGAAATGTGAACATTCACGAGAAACAAAGAAATTTTAGGTTGCATATTTTTTTTAGCTTTTAATGTAGTTGAAATTATATATTTTATGGTGTTTATTTCCATTTTAAGCAAATGCAAAGGTACTGAAAAAAAGTTTTTTCGATTTTACAGAAGCAGTTATATAAATAAATGTTTTGTTTTCGATGTTATTCCAATGAGAAAGAAAATGAACAAATCTTTGATGCTTAAATATGGTTCAAAGCATTCATGTACGTTACAAAAGGTAACGCGTCTGACTGACGTCTTGGCTTAATTACAGAGTTTGAATGATAAAGATTAAGATGAGACAAATATTACTAGGTAGAAAAAAAGACAGTTGCATAAATTTTTATATACTTTTTATTTTTATTTTATCACAGTACTACTATAATAAGTACAAAATTCAGCAAACGACAGCAGAATGTATATTCTATCGACGATGTTCGGTCGTAAGAGAATTCCATAACTGTTTATATCCCTCCGCAAACCTAGAAGAAAAACAAAACAGAAGAATCATATATATAACAAACTATTATTTTCTAGTGTTGTATCATTTGTGCATATATTTACTCATATTATATGTTTTTTTCATATTCCACTTTAATGGGCGTAACTCAAAATACATATGACGATTGAATGCCAGTACATTATAAAATGGTTTCCATTTATTTATTTATTTATTTATTTATTTATTTGTTAAATTTTTGTCATATTCAATAAATTAATAATATTCATAGCAACAAGAAACGAATGCAGATGTTTACCGTTTAATAAACATNATTGGCTTTCTAAAGCAAGCGAAATTTAACTTATTATTCATAAGATGATTTATGTTGAATTACATGTATGTAGGGGTAACTTTAAATCAAAGTGATATATACAGTGCATTTAGGTCTAATTGTTAAATTTTCTCAAAGAATCCGTACATGAATTATGGTATCTCTGACATGACCAGATAACTATAATTTAAATTGAATAAAAATTTCTGACATAGACGATAAGACTCTCTTTTTATTTTTGATATATGAAGATAATATTTGATACCCTTGCATATTCAAACTTAAATTTTTAAACCATTGATTCTCCCCCTCTCTCCCTCTCTCTCTCTCTCTCTCTCTCTCTCTCGAATAGTAATTATTCAGTTTAGTGTAGTGCGTGTTTATGTGCTATATCCAAAGTGTCCTATATTAAGTGTTCACAAACAAACAGAAATGTCGTGACTCATTAAAAATTTCATCTTGGCTCATATGAACAGGGGTCAAAACAACAGATCGTGGGTCGGGGGAGTTACGTGTGCCTCTGAAGCACCTTTAATTATTCATTTATCTTATAGGTAAGTATCTTGCAAATAAGCGAAGCAAAACCTCTTTTGCCTCGAGGCAACCCCTGCACGCCCCCCCCTCCTCAAAAATTCACAAATTTAAACCCTGAAACCGCGACTAGAACAACATAAACTGCGCCCTTCCAGTGTACGCATCCCCTTCAGTCTCATATACAATTAATGAACTACATTGTAACAAGATCTAATAGTACAGTGACAGGCAATCCACCAAAGAATAACGGAAATACACGTGTTCATCAACCTCCAAGCAGCAAAACTCTAGCTCGACAGTTACATGCATCTCTTTCAAGATCGCCGCTTATCATTTTACGCGTCACGCGATCTTGAAATGAAATTTGTGTCGCACGAGGAGTGCGCTGTGCAACTGTGGAAGTTTCCGTTCTGTCATTAAAACTGTACTCAATTGATGGGAGAGATTAGTTTTATGTACGGTAGTTTGTAACAGATTTGGCATCTTGATGACGTCATGCCTTGCACAGGTAGACGCGCCTTTTTATTCAAAAAACAGAATAGCGGGATGAAACTGCCATGATACCTAAATTATAGAACAGTTACGTCAGTGGTGAATCTAGAAACACACCAAACAAGTGCCATTTTCTGAGCACCTGGAATTATCCTCCACTCCCCCCCCCCCTCCCCAACCAGGCATCCTGTGCGCTACCTATGTCGTGTAATGTTAGTTAGTGACAGCATGCAGTGAATAAGAGCGGGGAGTGTTTCGTAGAGTAACTTAAGTTGATTGACATGCTCTTATGGTATTTATACAACTGCGCTTAGTGTGAACAGAGAGAAGGCCGCTAGAGATTGCATGAGGTAGGAATAGAAATGAAGGAAGCGGCGCGGGTAATAACTGGACAGTAGTTCAATAAATAATAAGAAAGATAATATCTGAGTTGTATTTGCTACCTCGCGTAACATGACGAAGACAAGCCAATAACTTCGTCACAGTCGTAAAATTGCCTCATTTTCTGTTGTGTGTATTATCAGCCTGTTATATTGTTATTCCTGCGCCACCAGTGCACCCTACCCTCCCCCACCTCCACCCCTCTTCAGCAGAATCCCAGATACCCCACTGACATTTACATGTACATTCCCGAAGCAGTGTCACGATCCTCAATTTTGTGAACATTTACGAGAAACAAAGAAATTATAGTGGCATTTTTTTTTTAGCTTTTAATGTAGGTGAAATTATATATTTTATGGTGTTAATTTCCATTTTTAAGCAAATGCAAAGGTACTGAAATGAAGTTTTTTTCGATTTTTACAGAAGCAGTTATATAAATAAATGTTTTGTTTTCGATGTAATTCCAATGAGAAAGAAAATAAACAAATCTTTGATGCTTAAATATGGTTCAAAGCATTCATGTACGTTACAAAAGGTAACGCGTCTGACTGACGTCTTGACTTAATTACAGAGTGATGCTTTTCATTTCAAGTATGAATGATAAAGATTAAGATGAGACAAATATTACTAGGTACAAAAAAAGACAGTTGCATAAATTTTTATATACTTTTTATTTTTATTTATCACAGTACTACTATAATAAGTACAAAATTCAGCAAACGACAGCAGAATGTATATTCTATCGACGATGTTCGGTCGTAAGAGAATTCCATAACTGTTTATATCCCTCCGCAAACCTAGAAGAAAAACAAAACAGAAGAATCATATATATAACAAACTATTATTTTCTAGTGTTGTATCATTTGTGCATATATTTACTCATATTATATGTTTTTTTCATATTCCACTTTAATGGGCGTAACTCAAAATACATATGACGATTGAATGCCAGTACATTATAAAATGGTTTCCATTTATTTATTTATTTATTTATTTATTTATTTATTTATTTATTTATTAAATTTTTGTCATATTCAATAAATTAATAATATTCATAGAAACAAGAAACGAATGCAGATGTTTACCGTTTAATAAACATTCTTTCCGTAACCACCGTATCCGTAACCAGAGTATCCGTAACCACCGTAGCCCTTGACAGCTCTGGCGGCAGCGGCGGCTCTGGCGGCAGCAGCGGCTCTGGCGGCAGCGGCGGCTCTGGCAGCAGCGGCGGCTCTGGCGGCAGCGGCAGCTCTGGCGGCAGCGGCGGCTCTAGCTCTGACGGCAGCTCTGACGCCAGCTTCGTTTTGGGCAGCGGCAGCAGCATCGTTGGCAGCGGCAGCAGCAGCGACCTCAGCACCATCAGCAGCATTGTCAGATGCGGCAGCCTTGGAGGCAGCGGAACCGGCTACGGCAGCAGCTCTGGCGGCGGCATCAGCAGCGACAGCAGCAGCAGCACGAGCGCGGGCAGCGGTGTTCTCAGCAATAGTAGCGGCATCAGCGGCCTCATTGGCGGCAACGCGAGCAGCACCAGCGGCATCCTCAGCAGCAGCGGCGGCAGCGGCCTTCTCCTGGGCGGTGGCGGCCTTGCTGGCAGCAACAGCCTCGGCGGCAGCAGCAGCAGCAGCAGCGGCGTGGGCGGTTCTCTTGGCGTTGGCGGCAGCAGCCTGGGCGTTGGCGGCAGCAGCAGCCTCAGCGTTGGCAGCAGCTCTGGCGTTGGCAGCGGCGTTGGCGGCGGCAGCAGCGCGGTTATTGGCGGAAGCCTTCAAGGCCTCTCCAGCGCTGAAAACAAAACGGTAGTTAAAAATACTTATAAGCTAACTGAAGTATATCAACTTAATCAATTTCGAATTTCAATAAGAAAAATCGAGCGCTTACTTTTTGCTTAATTGCTTTTATCCCTATCATTTAGAATTAAACTCAATGCAAATATATCATCACCAAACATTCTGTATAATTGTTTAAATGATAAAAGAACCGGCAACAATTCTAAAAAGTTTTCAGAGCATTGTTTTCTCATATTTTTGATCCTTAAGAAATCTGCATTAAAATCCCTAGCTGTGAAGCCATTTCAGTTTTTCATAGCCTACCTGAAGTCATATCCGAACTTGCCGAAGGCGCAAGTGTAGGCAACGCAGAGAGCAAGGATGATCAGCTTCATGATGAAGAGTTGAGAGTGGTCGACGAGGAGAAGTACCTGTAGCTGAGGGTGGCATGTACAGCCTTATATATTGACCCTTAAGGCCACAGCTCATTATTTCTTAGCGTCGGAGGTTCCGCACGCTCAAATCGATTCAACTTACAAACAGCACTGAGTTTTTGCATATTTATTCAACGGCGAAGGCAAACTTTGTTTCTTTTCCAATTAATAATATTTGACTTTTTAAAAATTGTCAAACTGCACTCTGCGTTGTGTTTTACATTTTGAGTCCTGAGAATCGAAGAATTATTGGAAAAAGACTGGCTGTTTTGCATAGGGCGGAGCCAAGAGGACGTCACCCCCAGCCCACTTTGGTTTGGCTGTCGTGTCAAAATAGGATTTACACCATCGCCATTTGTTCGCAGAAAACCCCCCTTGATAAATGGCATGATAAAATTCCCACCTTCGTTAATCGTGACACCGTCTAAGTGCATTTGTCATTTGAATCTTAACCATTTTCATCTTTATTACAGTTTTAGTGAAAGCCTTACTGTAGTAGGAAACATTTCCCTTCAAAAAATTTAATTTAATTTATTTTATTTGAAGGGGGTAAATGTGCTTCAAAAGGACTGAGGTAATTGTTCATAAGCTTCAATTCTTTATGTATGAATAAGATTTTATACTGCCCACCAAATTGTTATCGTTCAGAAAATCCAGGTCTATGAAAGAGGTCTTTTGCACTAAACGGTACATTGGATTACAGGATAGACTTTGACAAAGAAATAATTGTCTTCTTGCACTCGTTCTCGGACTAGACTAGAGAATATGTATGAAATGTTTTGAGACGGAAGAGAAAAAAAATTTAAACATTATGAACTTGAGAACTGAAAAAGCATTTAAGTTGAGATGAAGGCTCTGATTTGCCTAAGACCTCACAAAGCTGTAAGCATTCGGACCATATGATATTTGGGTATACGTACATGTACCTTGCCACATGATTATTAAATGTGTGTTAAGAAAAAAGACAATATATTCCATGCAACGCAAATAACTCCCATGTAAAAGAAAACAAACGGCTTATTTACGCGGTATATGTATGGCCACACCCATTTGAGTTCAAAAGTTTTCTTCGCCTCAGTGGAAAAAAATCATCCACGGTTCTTATTTTACTGCGGGGACGTTAGCAGATGTAAGAAGAGACCGTCCCCTGACTTTTACGAGATCTGGAGAGGAGCAGATTTGTCACCTACGTCTTGACAAGAATACCTTTAAATATTTACTATCGCACGCTCATTTTTTTCCTTTTCACTTTTCGTGAGGGCTGCAATATTTGCGATGACCGGGCATGAAATACACAAAACGTAGGAATGATGAAACAAGTATATACTTATAATCATTTTACACGATGATGTTGTTTTTTTTTTTTTTTTTTTTTTTTTAGACTGACTGAAAACTTACGTGACTACAGGGATTTACCAATTGTTGCAAATAGCATTTATTCATAGTTATTTATTTAACTTTTTCATATTCATTAATTCTTGTTTGTATATTGTTTGCTTGTCTGTGCACTTACGTGTTTCAACTGATTTGCTTATTTATTTATGTATATAAGTAAATTATTGCAAGCAAATAACACATTTCATCGTAGAAACAACTTCAAATAATGACTTACGTTTTGCGTAGAGATTTTAATTAAAATTCATTAACGACAAAGCTTTTTGTAGAAACCAGTTATGTGGACATTACAAAAACGTTGAGATAATGTTAGCTCGGCCTTCATAACAAACGGTGCAAATAGCATGATCTTTTTTGTTCTTATTTTTTCAATTATTTTTTGGAATATAATTATTTGATGTAGAGGAAGTTTTGGGTTCTGGATCCATCTTTAACTTAGCGTGTCATTGCCCAATTTTAACCGCATGCAATCTCACTTAACGTGATGGACGTTAACTTGCCTCTGCCTCGTGGCCACGGTATAGCATGCGTGCAATATATTATGTTTTTATTGCTAATTTAATCCGCTTACAAAGCGCCAACAATGGCCTTAGTATTTTCGCTGAATGTTCATGAGCAATTCCAGTCCAACCGTCAGCATGCAAATGTCCAATCAACTCGAGATTCAGAAGTGAACGGTGCTGATATTAGTAATGCAAGGGAGACGTAATACAGCAATTTCAGAACTGTAGATATATTAAAACTATGCCGGTATGTCTCATCCTACGTCAAATCGAAGAAAAGGGATTCATTGTTGAAAGTTTTCAAGACACTCCTGAATGAGCACTAAAAAGCCACGTGGCAATTATCAACTCCATCCCTGATGCCGGCCGGTTGGTGACTCCATATACAGTCTAAGTGACTATGCATATATCCTCGCAGGGCACAGCACTGAACAAAAATGCTCATATGCATGTATAGCTAGTGAACCGCCAGAGAAATATCTAGCGAAAAACAAATCCCATTGGCTCTGGTAGAAGGTAGTTGTTATGCACGAGCGGAAACACTATCGGCCGTAGTCCTTTTACTCCCTTTTTGTGTGCCTCTTTGAACATGGAACAGCAGGAATAAACACCCGTTGTCTTGTGTTCGTCTTGTGTTCGTTTGCGCGTTCACATAACCTTCCTTTTAGAGGAATATGAGTTAAGAACTAAAAACGTGACCTCATTCTGCTTGCGTGACAAGTGACAATGCATCACAATACTTTTTTTACAAACAATCCTTCTGAAATCGACGCTGATGAACTTGTAATATGCTGCTTATGGAAATCGTTGGTGCAAAAAATGTTGATTGCAACCAAATCCCCCAATTTTTTTATTTGTTACTAAGACAAATCAAGCGGCACAGGCACTTTGAGTTAAACAATATATATAGTCAAACATGGGGTTTATGAGAATTATATGAGAATAAATTGCTCTCTACGTCAGTCTTTATGTGGTAGAAAGGAGTCTGGATTGCTCAAACATTTCTTAACAGCGGTAACGATATTAAAGGACAGCCAATGATATTCGCAGCTGTTTACGCCCATGAAGGCTGCCGAGAAGGTGGTTTTCAGAAGAGAAAAGGAAATTTGATGAACTCTTTACGAACAAAATAGCTGACTTTCCATACTTTCACTTTCTTGTGTCCAATGGCCTCGTTATAAAGATGCAAATTTCTCGTGTTTTTTTTTCAAAAGTTGATACTCTTGAATTTTAAGTGAAAGGCTGATATGTCGACCAACGTCGTCGAAGATGAAGCTGGTTAGCAACTGTTCTACTGATCTTTTAGACCTGTTCTCCTCCCCTTCCCTTTTATGGGGGTTAAAATCAGAAAAGGAGAAAGATAAAATGATTAAAACTCGGACTAAAGTAATTACACGAAAAACTGGTTTAAATACACTAGCCAAGCCTGTCTTATTTTTTGCTTTAAAAATCATGGAACAAAGCATATTTTATCATGTTTAAGTGCATTAAAGGTACAGTGACATGCTAACATTTCATCAGTGTGACTAAATCTGAATCATTGTGAAAGCTTTTCTTTGTTTGCTAAACCAAAAGAAAATAAAGGGAAAAAAGCAAAGCTATTTACGACAAGACACGCATAGAAACCATGAAAACTCAACCCCAATTTCAAATAGTTAGATTTCAGTTAGTAAAATGATGAAATGCATACAATTTAATGCATTAAGGGGTCTCTCACGAAATATACAACGTCAGAAATAATTGATAATGGAGATTTATTTATCTGAATAATGATAAGGGTATACAAAATGATAATGATAATACGGAAAATTCATTATACAGCAGAACTTGCCTTTTTCTCAAGGAAGATTGATGTAAAGTGTCACATCTGTAGGTATGAATTNCAAAGCGCCAACAATGGCCTTAGTATTTTCGCTGAATGTTCATGAGCAATTCCAGTCCAACCGTCAGCATGCAAATGTCCAATCAACTCGAGATTCAGAAGTGAACGGTGCTGATATTAGTAATGCAAGGGAGACGTAATACAGCAATTTCAGAACTGTAGATATATTAAAACTATGCCGGTATGTCTCATCCTACGTCAAATCGAAGAAAAGGGATTCATTGTTGAAAGTTTTCAAGACACTCCTGAATGAGCACTAAAAAGCCACGTGGCAATTATCAACTCCATCCCTGATGCCGGCCGGTTGGTGACTCCATATACAGTCTAAGTGACTATGCATATATCCTCGCAGGGCACAGCACTGAACAAAAATGCTCATATGCATGTATAGCTAGTGAACCGCCAGAGAAATATCTAGCGAAAAACAAATCCCATTGGCTCTGGTAGAAGGTAGTTGTTATGCACGAGCGGAAACACAGTCCTTTTACTCCCTTTTTGTGTGCCTCTTTTAACATGGAACAGCAGGAATAAACACCCGTTGTCTTGTGTTCGTCTTGTGTTCGTTTGCGCGTTCACATAACCTTCCTTTTAGGGGAATATGAGTTAAGAACTAAAAACGTGACCTCATTCTGCTTGCGTGACAAGTGACAATGCATCACAATACTTTTTTTACAAACAATCCTTCTGAAATCGACGCTGATGAACTTGTAATATGCTGCTTATGGAAATCGTTGGTGCAAAAAATGTTGATTGCAACCAAATCCCCCAATTTTTTTATTTGTTACTAAGACAAATCAAGCGGCACAGGCACTTTGAGTTAAACAATATATATAGTCAAACATGGGGTTTATGAGAATTATATGAGAATAAATTGCTCTCTACGTCAGTCTTTATGTGGTAGAAAGGAGTCTGGATTGCTCAAACATTTCTTAACAGCGGTAACGATATTAAAGGACAGCCAATGATATTCGCAGCTGTTTACGCCCATGAAGGCTGCCGAGAAGGTGGTTTTCAGAAGAGAAAAGGAAATTTGATGAACTCTTTACGAACAAAATAGCTGACTTTCCATACTTTCACTTTCTTGTGTCCAATGGCCTCGTTATAAAGATGCAAATTTCTCGTGTTTTTTTTTCAAAAGTTGATACTCTTGAATTTTAAGTGAAAGGCTGATATGTCGACCAACGTCGTCGAAGATGAAGCTGGTTAG